CTTTAACCAAAATATCCTCTATACCATGCTCTCTAAACTGAAGAATATGGTCATATAATTGCAGTCATATGAATTTTGTTCAATGATAAATGCAGAGAGAATTTGCAGAATACATAAAGAAAGTTTTATCGTTGGGATTGGGAAATAAGCAGGTCTAGTACAATCTCTTAATTTAGCTAGCTATTTAGCTTTATTAAGCTATTCAAAATAGCTTGATTTAGCTATTTATATGCAGTTTTTCACAAAAATTATTTGGGTAAGAAATAGACAAAAAGTTGCATGTATTTGACTATTCATATATGTGCTATGGGCTATCGAAACAACAAGCAAAATCAAAGATAGCTCCAACTTTGCAACTTTTTATTACTTTTAAGCAAAAGATAAATTTCTATTATTTGAGTAACTGTCCACTACCTTGTGTGCATTGAGGCATGGATAAGTATGATTGCTTCTCATTGAATGTACTGAATTAATTACCAATCAATTATCTTGTTGACCATAATTGGCCTCCTTTATAAATTCATTGAAGAAGTAACTGTATCAATTGCTTATGTAGCCCAAAAACTTTTAGAACTTTGAGTACAAAGTCTCTTTTGTTTCTATTTTCCTAATTATCTCCCCTTGTTTAAGGGTCACAACCCTAGTTTTAGTATAAACGGAAGCCCTTGGCCCAAGGATACCCTGTGACAAATTTGACAATAATTGGTCAAAGGGTTCTTGAGTTATGGCCCAATATATTCTAAACTTAAAAGTTTACGCACACCGCACAAATGGCCATAGCATTAGCTCTCTGGGCCTTTGGCTCAGAAGAGCTTAAAAAATGAACCTCTTACATTGATTTTTGGTCAATATTTTTTACAGTTTTTTGTATAGTTTTTTGATGAACAATGTACAGTATTTTCACCCAAATTCCTGTATTTTGAGGACTGCTGTACAGTATTTTTGGCCTAAAAATTATCACATGTATGCAAGGAGATTTTAATGAGTGAGTTTTAAATGCATCAATTTCAGATGAGTTCAAGGTTGAGTATCATCACTGCACCAAGGCGCGACTTTTTGTGCATGCTGAGAAAAGTACACATTTAAGAAAAAGTGTGATAAAATAGCTAAATTAAGCTATTCTGAACAGCTTAATAAAGCTATATATATAACTAAATCAAAAGATTGTAATGGACATGATAAGTGCTTTCAAACATTGAATACTTAAAATATACCTACTGACATGCAACAGCTAAATTTTTGTTGATAAATGAAGCGTATTCTGAACAAATTATTTACCCAAACAAAGGTGATGTTGTCACAAGATGACGTTCGTACCCATCTGACACTTACACTACTCCTCCTTAATCAGCTGGTAATAACATCATTATCCTCGAATTCAAGAAAAATCTGTTAATAAATTAGTTGGAATGATGATAATAAAACTATTCTAATCAGATACAAATGTATAATATAAGACTTCTATTTCACCCAAGAATACCCAAGAAGCTGGTGAGTTTACCTGTACTTCGATCGAAATTCTCCTCCTACTTGCTCGCACCCAAGCTTTTACGACCCTCAATTTATCCATCGTAAGTCGGAGAACCCTTCGGCTTTGTACAACTGTTTAAACTTTCCTTATACGCTTTGTGTAAACCATAAACATGCATAACCCAATACACATCTCCATGTGTGAGGTACCTGGAAGTTAATATTATCGAAAAATCTCGCGAGTCACGTGACGAGACTTACAGACCCTAACGCAGCCCGAATTTGCTTGGTTCCAATGAAAATCTAGATAATCTTGAGGAAGGGAGCATTCATTATTTGTTGTTGTAAGAAATGCGAATAGGTGATATCACCTATTCGAATAGGTGATATCACTCATTCAAATTGAATAGGTGATATCACTTATTCGAATAGGTGATATCACTTATTCGAATAGGTGATATCACCTATTCAGCACGAATAGGTGATATCACCTATTCGAATAGGTGATATCACCTATTCATTTCGAATAGGTGATATCACCTATTCGAATAAGTGATATCACCTATTCGAATAAGTGATATCACCTATTCGAATAAGTGATATCACCTATTCGAATAGGTGATATCACCTATTCAATTTGAATGAGTGATATCACCTATTCGAATAGGTGATATCACCTATTCGAATAGGTGATATCACTTATTCGAATAGGTGATATCACTTTTTGGCAGTAAATACCAAAACGGCGCCTCATATGTATGTAACAAATAAGTCACGTTTCGCGTTTAAATCTTGGACGTCGAGTCTCATCTCGATAACCCGGATATTTCGACATTTTCTGAAAGTTCCGTTGATGCCGGGATACTATTAGTTATCCAGGTCCAATCAAGGGTGTACGGGGATTTACCCCGGGTTTTATTCCATACACCATGAGGCCGAAGTTTATAACTGTACCTGACTTTAAGGGAAGGATTAAACAAACACACATACCTTTCTGCTTTTAATAAAAAATATATATTTCTCTTCCAGTCGAGTGGTGACAGGAAAAAAATACAAGTCATGTTCTTTAATCTCACCATTCCAAGAAAGTGGTATTCTTTGAAAAATGGATTGCCTATTTTACTTTTAGCTTCCACGTCACAAGTAGATACTAAGTCTCCTATGAAGAGATTCAACTTAGAGCGGCAGAGTTTCAAACATTCAAGGGAATATTGCATAAACGCATCATACAAAAAATATAACGTGTATTGGACATAATATTTAATTATTGCTTAAGACTTCTGAAAACCTTTGATGTCAAGTTAGCTGATGTCACGGATTAAGATGAATAGATGACCTTAATTGCGTAAAAATATATTTAAGTCTTGAAAGATATTCAGTTTCAATTTCAAATAGATTTCGTCAAAATTGTAACGCAACTATATTTTATTTTGCTTAGAAAAATCCAGCTCCATTAAGTGTACATATATTAAAAAGAGTCAAGAGCAGTACAGCCCTCTCTTTGATCAAACTATACAATGTTATTGTTTACAGAACTTTCCGTAAATCTGAGTTGGAAACCAGACAATCGTTTACACATGCATTGTGAGTGATTAATATCTGACGAGATTTTATCAATTCCAAAAATCCAGGGAGGTTATTATTTCAGATCGAGCGCAATGTTACAAGGAAATGAATTTTTCTAGAATTGAAATGTCGAGCATTGATAAGCTTAAAATATGACACGTGTCTGCCGGCTATCTTTGCATGTCCAGCAGGTGATACTGAGTAATTAGTATCTGGCAATATGATAGCGAATTGCCAAATCGTTTCGACATTGAATCATTTTTACAGAAACCAATTTTTATAAAGTTTTCTTTTTGAGATTACATTAGCGACCCTTATAAGAAATATTGAACAATTGTTGTGTCCAAGTGATACAGTAGTAGCGTCGAAACCACAGGTGCAAAGCACCCCCACCCCCACCCCCCCCCCCAAAAAAAAAAAGTATAGAAGCATTTATAGCAGCTATTTTATTAAGCATGGTTTACTTTGAAATTTTTAAAGAAGTTGAGAAACAGTTTCAATTTTCACGTACGAATTAACCTTTCTTAAACGACAATCCTTTGACATCATTATGTGTCTCTCTTTTATGTTACTAAGACAGGAGAAGAAATTGAATTGTATGATGAACAATGAAAATTTATTAAACATTTGTTTTATCAAAGTATTTCTAAAAAGTTTAATTAAAAAAAATCGCTCGGATGTACAGAACATATTTATTATTTATGATTTTTTATGAACAGAAGATGCTTTAAAAAAAAAAATTAAACATTATGGCGTCCATTAGAATTCTTTGGTGATACAGAAAATACATAAAGTGTTACATGTATTATTCCCCTCCTATAACAACGTGTGTGTGTCTGTGTGTCGAGAGGGGGGGGGGGGACTGAGTGAATGCCTGCTTATATTAAATCAAAAATATTTTTTTATATATATCGGGATCGATGTGCTGATGTCCCGCGTTACGCGCGTTGCCCTTCCTTGGGTTGGATCTATCCTGTTTTTAATTTACAAGTGTTTTATATATTGTATAAATTTGGCTAGAGTATTAAATATAAAAAGAATATCTTGTGCTGAAATAGTGGAATTGTACAAATATTATTTTTTCAAATGAATATAAACCGTTCCTAGATCCTGTCATGGCCACCCCACCCCCCTCCTTTACGATATCACCGAATCTGTCTCTAAAATAGTATGAACCATAAAGGCAACTTTCCTTAAGAATAATTACATACTAGAAGCTTGGAAGAAGAAATCAATTTTTTTTTCAAGTTTATTTGTGTCAAAACGATTAAAGTTATTTAAATAATTTTAAGAATGTTTGGAAACTGAATTTGATGCACGCGACCTCATTTCATTTTCAGTGAGTAACGTCAACGTTATTTTGAGGCGATTTACTTAAATATGCTCATAAAATATAGAAAAAGTGAGATATTTTTAAAAGTTATTTATTTTTGCATTCAGAAAGAGTCAGGCTATCAAAATATACCAAAAAGTCAATTTGTGAAATTTTGACCTTAAGGGCCCTTTTCTCATGACGGCAGTCATATATGTACTATAATTTTGCTCCTTCAAAACACAGTATTATTAAGTTTTAGAGTAATTAAACTGCATTTTATGTACGCATATGTACATTATGCAATTTAATTACTGTATAACTTATTAATTATATACCTTTAATTTGCTGTACATTTTGATTAGGCTTATCTGGAAGAAGAAGAAAAAATTGGGTTGGTTGAAACCAGAATGTGTACAAAGCCATTGAGGAAAACAATAAATAAGTTATCGCCTAGGCAATCTTCACACTTCCCCTGTTCCCCACCAAAACGAGATGTGATTTTTTCCCCTCCTTAGATTCCAACTAAAAGGTTAATTTCTCAAGCTGGAATGTTTAATAGTGGTGATAAAATTATCCTATTTTGTTGTTCAGTTAATTGTTATAGAAATATGGTTAAAAGAATAAAAAGAAGAGGAAAAAATCCACTTACCAGTAAATATAATATGTGGGGCTAATCCTACTTTCGGTTTAACTATGTCTATGTAAGAGTTGTCGTTCCTTCTACGCTCTTAACCCTTTATAAATAAACAATGTTAAAAAAAATCGGTCATAAAATATAATATCCAGCAATTTAATGTCAAAAGATTCCGTATGGAAAAATAAAATATAAGCCTAAAAGACAATATTTCCCTACTCCTATTTACATAACTGAATAAGTATTCAGTAGAACATAACATAGAACTTAACTATTTGTTTGTTTGCAATGTAACAAAACAAAACAAAACAAAAAAAAAAATTACTCGAGCTTAGTCATATTTCTAGATGTCAGGGGCAAAACCATATTTAGTTTATCTCAATGCTATAATTTTTTTTTTCTATATCAATGCCTTTAATTAATTTCAATATATTCCATCGGAACTATGTAAGAATTAAAGTATCTACGAAATTTACGCCTGGTTCACGAGTTCATGGATTAAATTAACTCGTTGATAAATATCTCGTTATATCGAGTAAGTATCTCGGCATTACGAGTTAGTATCTTGTTATCACGAGTTAGTAATCTCGTTTTAACGCGTTATTTATATATTTTATTGTCTTGTTATAACGAGAGTTTGTCAATGCGTTATAACAAATTAGTTATCTTATTATAACGAATTATAATAATTTTCGCAATTCTCGTTCAGTTGATATCTCTAGTGCCAATATTGGAAATAAACAAAGTCGAGTTGATAAAATTTGTTAGTAGTGTGCATAATGATAACAGCATACAAGTTTTATTGTCTTTTGCATTTGATTAGTGTTTTTATTGAAAAGATAGAAGACAAATATCTGCTTGTGAATTGTTTTCAACATTGTGATAATGTCAGACTAATGCGTTAATGTGTTGACCTTCGAGTTACATAACTTTTAAAAATATGATAATTCACATCAAGACAGCTCAAAACCTTATCATAATTAACCCCTAGCGCAAAATAAAATTTCAGTAATTTATCGATTGACTTCGTTATATTCGCTTGATAAGAATTAATTCAAAATCGATTAAAATCTATAAATTGTCATTTTCAGTTCTAAACTCGTTAATTTTTTTAACGAGATGATTAACTCGTTGTAATGAGATAATGAGCAGATCGTTTAAACTAGACACTTACTCGTCGATATTACTTAATCGTAACTACATGTACATCGTAACTTGTTATAGATATTCGGGGTCATATAGTTTTTGTCCTGTCCGTCCGTCTGTCTAGCTGTCTGTTTGTCCGCAAAAACTTTAACCTTGCCCATATCTTTTGACTGGTTGGAACTATGGCTTTCATATTTCACAAATATACTCCCTTGTGACAAGACCTTTCCTAGGGTACCAACATATTTGAAATCTTGACCTTAACCTTGGAGTTCGACCCTCTTTTGCCAAACTTTAAAATTGGCCATAACTTTTGAACAGTTGGTGCTAGGGCTTTCATACATCAGAACTGTTTTCCTTGTTATTAGACCTTTCCTTGGGAATAAATATTTTTGATTTTTTGACATTGACCTTGGAGTTTGATCAACCTTTAAAAAACTTTATCTTTGGCCATAACTTTTGAATGGTTAGTGCTAGGGCTTTCATATTTCACATGTTTGAGTACCAACAGTTTTGAGTTTTTGGTCCTTGACCTTGGAGTTTTACATACTTTTGAAAATTTTGAACATTTAATCTTGTCCTTGACGTTTGATTTACTTTTCAAAAATCTTTATCCTTCGCCATAACTTTTCAAAGCTTGATGCTAAGGCTTTCATATTTCACAGTTATATTCCCTGTGACAAGTTCTTTCTTTGGGAAACAATATTTTTTATCTCTTCACCTTGATCTTGGAGTCTGCCTTGCATATCTTAGAAACTTTAACCTTCGCCGTAAGCTGCCATGCCTGGGCATCAGTGTTTCACAAACATATCTTGTTTGTTTGTTTGTTTGTTTTTTTTATTTTAATGGTTTTGTTTTCCAAGTACACCTTTCGTGATTTGGTTACATTTGATGGCCATTCTTTAACAGTTTAAATTTCTATATTTAATGAAATTGAAAACAGAATTATGTTTCTTTATGAAGTGCAAAAAAGAAAAAAATAATAAATAAATAAATAAATAAATAAATAAATAAATAAATAAATAAATAAAAAATTAAAAAATTTAACATGTTTAAAGAATGAAAAAAAATTATTAAATAAATATATATATATATATATCACTTCCTTCAGATTTTTCTGCATTGTCATGACTTATCAAGCTGATCAACTATAGGCAATGTTGAAAAGATGATATACAGTTTAATTATTATAAGGTAAGGGATTATTTCAATACGCAATTTTTATATTCCGTGTAGTTTTCTTCGTTAAAATCCATATTCATTGGAAATATCAAAATCTTGTTATGGCGTAAGAATACACAATAGGAACTACATTCGTGCATTAGAATCACCATCATGTTTATTGATTTTGCTTAATAGAACCTACATTTATACATCGTATGACGTCATAGTTTCTCTCATGTATTGAAAATACACAACAGTGATAATGTGAATGGCATGCAACTATTTTGAAGGAATGCAGAGTTCCTAAGAAATTTTTAGTTGCCAGCTAAAATTAATAGACTAGTACAATATCATGAGGAAATGTGTAAGAGTCAAGGATCTGTTAAAGAATGTGTTTAAAGTTTTTAATATCTATCATGAGATTACGTGCATTTCTTTTCATAATTATTTGCTAATTATTCGTTTGTATTTTTAATGGTTAGTGTACATTGATAATGTTTCCCTAAAATGGTATCTTTTTATATAAAAATTTACATTTGTTGATAAATATTTACATTGTAAATCTGAATGTAGCCTCAAATCAGTCATTTAATCAGTAAATCCTGTGTAAGTGCAAAAAGGTCAACAAAAGTAGTATTGATGATAAATTTAGGGTGGTGAATTGACTAAAAAGATATTGAGTGCATATGCCTATATTTGTTTAAAGTAGGACTTAATCTTTCTGTCAAAAAAAATTATACTTGAACAATATTGCTTAATACTGTTCAGTTAATAAAGTCTATAAAAGACAATTTTTGAAGAAGTATTTTTGTGATTTTCTATATTCTTTTTTTGACCGGTACCCCTAAAAATGGCTCAAAATGTGTAGTTGCAGTGTAAAATTATCGTTCCAAGTTGAACAGACTGCAGTGCATTTAATAACAAGGAAACATGCCAAAAACGTTTCACTGATTGAAAAGCGAGTGCTATTTATCATTTTGAAAAGTTTGAAAACCCTGTGACAAAGACTTTTTCGACATAGGTTCTACCTTAATTTAATTTTAAAAAAAAATACCTCATTAAATTATTGTAAAATTATAACAGTTTTACTTGTAGAATTTATTTGTCTTTTTTCCATTTGCAATATTTACATTCGATCGCTATTTGACTTTTAAATGCCAATGCCTCTTCCCTCTACTACCATTACCGTCTGAAAGGTGCCAAATTTATTTTTAAAGACAAATAAAGAATGATATTTATGAACACAGAAGTGAATAGAATGTAAATGTAATTATTAAATCTCATACAGACATGTGTCGTCTGTTTTCACTCAAACCGCAGGAGTCGGAGAATCTAATATCAATTTAAACGATCTTTTCAGTAAATAATAACAAAAAAATGTTTTTACCTATAATAAATAAACGCGTGCTTAGAAATGAAGACTTCGAGTCTAGAAGCTGTAATTCTGTCTAAAATCGTCTATTATGGTTCGGATTAGATGCAAATTTTGTCTCGTATGTCATCAAGGTACACTCATATACTAAGAAAATGCCAGAGATACTCAAGCTATAGTTAGTAAACTGTCTAAATAAATTAAAAAAAAAAATCAACCATTACAGACGATCAGCTATTGAGTTTCAACAAATTTTAATGAAAAAATATTTTTTTTAAAAATACATATTAAAACTCATGAAAGGAATCTTTCATCACTACAGGTGAACGGAAGTATAACAGGGAATGAATAAGGCCAACTTTAAAATAATGTTTTTTTTTGCCCTCTCCCAACTCAGAATTAAAAATATTGGGTCGGTAGGTTGTTGAGAAATTTTATTTCCAGAAAATTTCAACATCCATGCTGAATTTTTAGAATTTTCACAATATATTATGAAGAAAGCATTAGAAAAAATAATTGCTTCCTGGAGGTTGAAAAAAGTCTTGAATCAGGCCATTTTTAGCCAGTCGGTCGGGAGAGGGCAACCAAACAATGTTTTAAAGATGGCCCAATCTTTCAAGAGAAGCTTTATTAATAGAAACATGTAAATTATATCCATAGTTTATCAAACACACTGCAGCCATTTCCATAGACAAAGCGCATGGCAACAGTTTCTAATTTACCCGGGTTCATTCCCTTTAAGACCTATAGATTGACCCTGGAATGTTGTTAAAAAACTAATAATATGTCAGTGCAAAGATTAATTGGAAACCTGATAGTGACAGCTCTCTGAAAAAAAAAAAAAAAAAAAAACAACTTGCTTTTTTACTACGAACAGGCACGAAGTATCGGGGGGGGGGGGGGGTTGAGGACGGGGTGGGATGGGGGTGATTGGGCCTGCATCCCCTTTTTTGCAAAACAATCTTTTACTGTTAAAATTGGTCTTTAAAAAACTGGTTGCCTCCCCTCCCCCTACCCCCACCCCCACATTACCTACCTTTTCTTACAGTGAAATATGAAGATCAGTAATCGAGCTGAAAGGTTCATTGAAACAATGCATATTTGAAACAGAGCAAATATGGACCTCTAAAAACATTAGAGGTGGGATCAGGCTCCATGACCATAAACTGAGAACAGACTTAAGTGAAAATTTCAAATCAATATATTTTTTTTAAATAATTAGGATAATGAAACAAAATTTTCAACTTGAGTATGAACTTGTGAATTACACAAACCTGCAAATTTTCATGCACATTAGTTAATTTTAACTGAAGATATTCAAAATCAAAATTTTGACTTAAGTCTGTTCTCAGCTTATGGTC